ATGAAGTTTTCTTTGTCATCTCTGAGTACAGCACCTGCCGTGTCCTTGAGCAGATCATGATCAAAAAAAGCATCAACATTTAGTTTAACAAAATCCATAGGAGGTCGACTCCATCCTTCTTTTCTACTAGTCAGTGGGCATTCACATAGTTTGATGTTATAGCACGAACCCCCCATCGAAATCTGGTTCACATCTTGAGACTTCCCATCATGAACCAACATGAGGCTCTCCCACCATAAATACCAAGCGGTTATCGCAATTAATTCACTTGCATTCTGGCAACCTAATATATATAGTTCCTGGTGCAGCATAAGTAAGAATTCAAGAACCGTCTCACCCCCACAATCAATAACACAAGCTTTCTAAATTACCTCTGTACATTCCCAGCTTACCCTAAACCTCCTTTGCCTTCTCACACAAAAACAAGATGTGCTTTGTATCTTCTTGCCCATAAGCATGATGGACAAAAGAACAAAACTTTCATGTCTATTGACAAGTGAACACAATACCGTAGAGTTCCATGCAACGTTCGCCAGATAAATATTTTTACCTTTGCCGGACACAATTATTTCCAAATCTTACCCTAAATAAATGTACTGTAGCATGTTGCTTTTACACCCAATGCTCATCTTTGAAAATAAGAAAATACATAGACGCACTGCAAGTTACAAACTATTTTATCGTTAAAAAGGTTCCACACACTGCAAATCATCTCATCACAAACGTTAGATCCTTCTGTAAATACTCTTACTTAGCATGTTATAGGTTTATAATATTTTTAACTCCCCAAATGTATTTTGTCAATGTTTTATACCCACGCTGCAACTTACTGGGACTTCCACGAAACCAGTTAAAACAATTTCACAGAGCACAGAATTAGCAAGGGCAACACAAAGGGATCCAGCCGAAGAAGGCTTCTTCACCCGCAAAAAAAAAATTGCTAAGAGTACTGCTGGTTTGCGTTAACCTAGTTTGGACGCTGTGGTTTCTTTATTAAGGCTGTTTGATTGGGCCACCAATTCGCCCTGCGACAAAATCTATTACAGGCGATTGGGCCACCAATTCAACCTTCTACAGAGGCATACAGCCGATTAACTTTTCAGTACCGCCTTTAAACTACAGGCGGTTGAAATGTAGACGAGAGTTCCAAACTGGCAACATGTGGTTGTTTCACGTCAGTTGTTAATTATAAATCCTCTTATTACGAGCAACGTTACTTGATGACGAATAGGGGCAGGCAGTGGATATCCTCTGGGAAAAAAACTCAAAAGCAATAATTCTAAATATACTAAATCTGGCCAGGTTTCTTTTACCTGGTTTTTTTGACTTTTTTCTATCAGTGAAAACCGGATCAATCAGGACGTGCCACCTGCTTTACTGGGGGATCTGGTTGGGTACACATCTGGGTTCAGCTAGCGATGGTGGGTGAGATTTTATTCCAGTTTGCTACTGGTTGCATGTGAGCGCACGCATCGGCAGTTCTCATTGGTGTGCATGCATGATCTGTACCCGAGTCCGATTTCTCTACGTCTTCCTTGGCGACTGGCTTCCGCAATTCTTGTGGACGTTTCTGGATGGGTGTGCATGCGTGCCATGCTGTTTTGTTCTGTTTCGGCCGCGTCGTCCATTCGGTTTTTATTTGGCGTGATGGATTTCTCGGTTGTTTTTTCATACGAGCTTAACCGGTAGTTTCTGCTTAGTCGGTTGCCGCCTGTCGAGTAGTTTATGAAGCGATGATAGATTGATTGGTCGAGCAGTTTCTGGACGAGGATAGGTCGGCCGCCGCTTATGGGTGTATAAATCCTCATCGTCTCGAGCACACTCCCACATCCCCTCCTCCCTCTAGCTTTGTCGTTGTTTCTGTCTAGACTGTCAGCCTGACATTATTGTTCGTCTCATGCTCGGCTGGTGCCGTCGATGTCATCTCCTCACTACCTCGGCTCCCGCGGAAAGACTGCTTCATCAAAGGAGAAACTGGGGATCCCCCGGCTGCGTTCTGCCGAGAGCCGTGTATGTGGAGTTGAGGACGCACGTGGACGGATGGCGGAGAGAGGCACACGCAGATAATGGAGGCGGGGGCAACGATATTCTGCAAGGTGAGCTCGGCGGCTTCTGCTCTTATGGTCTCAAGGTAGAGCGTGCTCCTACATGGATTCCGTGCAGTTGGCGATATAGCGTCGGCACTCTTTCACGGCGACGGCTGCCGACGACACACAGCTGCTGGACGACTTCAAGGCGGCGCTGCTCAACCAGGCGTCGCTAGACAGTTGGACCGCGCGCGACGGCGCTTGCAGGTTCCCGGCGCGGTGTGCAGGGCCGGGCGCCTGACGTACGTCGCTCTCGCTCTCGCTCTCCGACGTCCTGCTCAATACCGACTTCCGTGCTGTCGCGTCCACCCTGCTGCAGCTCTGCGGCGTTGAGAGGCTCAGCCTCCGCAGGGCCAACGTCAGCGATGTGCTCCGGCGGCAGGTGCGGCAGCAAGGTCGAGTTGCTCGACCTCTCTGTAAATTCCGTGCTGCGCGGCTCCTTTGCCGACGTGACCGTGCTGGCCGGCTCCTGCGGGGGGCTCAAGACGTTGAATCTGTCCGGTGATGCGGTATGTGTTGCCAAGGACGCTGACGGTGGCGGGCAGGGATTTTGCTGCCCTGGACGCTCTCGACTTGTCCCGCAACAAGATCACCAGAGATGACGACCTCCGCTGGATGGTGGGTGCCAGCCTTTGTCTTTCCGGTGGCTGGACCTCGCATGGAACAAGACCTCCGGCAGCCTCTCGGACTTCACCAACTGCTACGGGATGCAGTACCTTGACCTGTTCGGCAACCTCACTGCCTGAGATGTCGCCGCCGGGGCGCTCTACGGATGCCGCAGTCTTAGAGCGCTCAACCTCTCCAGCAACCATCTCGCTGGCACATTCCCGCCCGAACATCGCTGGCGCCGTGTGTAATCTTCGCCCCTGCTGGCTTCTCTGCACCCCATGTCTTGTACCTCTGGTCTTCGGAGCCACATCGCGTGGGCATCCAATGGACAATGGACAGGTTGCAAGGTTATGTCATGCTTGATACATACATATGGAGCTTGGATGCATGTGTGTGATTGTGAGTTGTTGCTACTTCTGTTTATCCCGGGAATGAAATTGACTAGCATCTGTTTTATCTAAATTTCAGACTTTAGTTCTTGGTAACTTGCTACCGTTTGAGCAGCAAATTATCCTGATGGCGTGTGCAGTGTGGGCTGCTGAAGGACGGCGTCACGAGGCGGCGGAGATCCATCCTACCATGCGGACAGTGCCACACAGCAGTACCCTAGCCAGTCGCGCGACGACACCGGCTACGCCTCCTTCAAGGCCCAGTTGCAGTCCGTCATAGACGCCACCACTGAGCTTGCTTGGTCGGCTGCATGGTGCTCTCCGTGAACAAGAACACGAACAGGGGCACACTCACCGCGACAGCGCTGTTCAACATTCAAGGCCAGCTCCTGCAGGAATTCTCCAGCAAACTGGTCGTGCACGCGAGGTTTACTTCAATCTGAAGGACATGTCAGGTCATGGTCCTGTGGCTGTGGGTTTCTTGCGGCGATGGCTTGAGTTATCGGCGGAGGCGCGCAGGGTGTTGTTTGCCTTCCGTGTGGTGTCGTGTGGGCTAGATGTGAGATACGGAGAGAGATTTTTTTATATTCTTTTAGAATAATACGGGGAGAGATTGAAAGGGTATTGTGATGAATTTAATGGATATATTCGTTTTTAGCTAGGTAGAAATTGCTCTCTCTCTCTCTCTCTCTAATATGCTTCTTTGGTCTGTGTTTGTGCTTCCAGATGACGTGCTACTCTGTTTCGAGTTCTTTCTGAAGTGGGAGAAATCAAATTCCTGCTCATTAGTTTCCGATTTTGTCGTTCAGCAGTATCTGTCTATACTTCCATACAAGCAAGTGCGCCACTGCAGAGAGAACTAATTACTCAACAACATGCAGAGCTCAATCCAATGAATGAGAAATTGAGCATTGAGGCAGGAAAAGCAAACTCATTGGAGTGAGGCGATCAACTGCGCTCTCAGGTGGCATTATTCAAGAAAAAGGTACGAACTAATTAAGATTAGTGTTAAAAAACTAATTAATATCAATGTTGGATAGCCAGTGGCCAATCTAGCTTCTCTCTTTAACAGGCCTAAGCTACTGGCTAACTACAAATCTAGCTTCTCTCTTTATAGCAGGCCTGAGATAATGTCAGTCTGAATCTGATATCACTCACGTACTGCTTGTTTCAGTGCAAAATGTGTATCAGTCAGTGTTCAGATAATACTTCCTTTAGCGTTTAAGGTTTTTGCAAGTTGATCTTTTATGGTTTCGTGAAGTTTCACTATTTGGATGATGTGGTCACCACAGGGGGTGCTATCATATTATTAATTTCGTATTTTACCTACAGCAGCAGAATTATTTTTAAGAACAGAAAACAGATATGCAAAGAATGTTTCTGCATATATTTTTAGGAAGATGATCCATGCCTATCCTCATGTGATGAACATGTGATTGATTTAGGTGTAGATAAATTAGGGTTAGTTCACTGGGCTGCTTGCTTAATGGCAAAAGAGTGCACTAATTATATGATTTAGGTGACAATGCATTTTGCATGATTGTAATAAATCTACTTCTTTACCATCTTCAACTTTTACGTATATTGTTGTCCTTCTCTTTAATTGATAGAGAAAGATACACATAAAATTATCGTACATACTTCTTAATTTATAACTATTCATTGTTCTACTGTTTAGACCATAACATACATAGTCGCGACTTACCGATTGGCGCGGCGTGTCGCCGCGCGGGCTAAGCTAGTCATATACTATGAGATCTGAGATCATAAAGCATGGGATGCATAACACGGAAGAAAATGGCACAGAAAAGCCAAACTGGAGAGCCATCTAGATCGGCCGGCCAGCATTATATCCTGCGCACTTGCTCTCAGGAAAGAGCTCCAAGGCTGCAGCGTTCCCCCCGTGACCAACCGAATGAATCTGGATCACGCGGAGAAGCTTCTTTCCAGGTGGGGAATCATCATCAGATCAAACCAAAAGCAATATCAGAGAGAGACAGCAGGAAAAGAAGAAGAAAACCATCAAACTGAAGGCATGATCCGCAAAAACAATCATCAAAAAGATAGACGGCGGCATTATTGCTGCGGCGGCGACATCAGATGCGGCGGCGGCGGCGACATCAGATGCGGCGGCGACATCAGATGCGGCGGCGGCGGCGACATCAGATGCGGCGGCGGATGGGAGGAGGAGAGTTCTGCTGCGCCGAATAGGGGGGCTGCACCCTGTTATATAGAGAGCTTGCTAGGGTATGGCGCCGCGTGGCAGTAACTGGGCCACGATGTGTAGTGCCGCCTCTTGGGCCTGAAAGACCCAGCGAGGAGGCCTGAAGTCATTTCCGCCAGAAGCCTCTTGGGCCTGAAAGACAAAAGGTCTGAAGGTAACAAGAAAGAAAAGAAGAACCCATAAAAAAAAGAATGCATACGAAAAAAAAATCAGAGAAGCATCTCTTTTAAAAGCTTGATTAGGAAAATGGAGATGATTTTTTTTTTCAAAAAGGAGGACATTGGAGATGATTCTACATTCCTACATACTATAAATGTGACGTCAAACTTCTGGAGGTCCTATCCAACGCATTGGTCGCCATCAAATCGATTGCAGATATTGAAGCACAGAAGCTCACCACATCACGTTCCCCCTTTGTTCACTTAAAAAATGCGCTCGCGGG